TATTTACCACTTTTGTAATCCAAGGTTTTCTCTGTTTCGGGGTTAGAAATACATATAGCACTAACTGTAACAATAAAATCGACGCAAGAAAGTACACAGATATCTTAGATTTGCACAAGAATGTGTTATGTCACGCAGTCGATTGGCAAACTTTCACTGCCGTCTCTGTGCTGGCGGTCCGTTAATCAATCTGGGAGCGTTTGCAACTTGCTTCTTTGTCATAGTTGTCCGTAGACGAATGCGAATCAGTACATTCGAATAACCGTATATTTATAAGCACTACACGCCTGATTTCACAACAACGTGTTAGACATAATTGGGCAGTTCCGGGACATATTTGTTCTCCACTCTGGCAACAATTCAAAAGAAGGCAAACACGGGAATCAAACCTTCCGGGGCATTTCTTGCAAAGGTTTGTAGAAACGGTTAGGTTGCGTTAACACCAAAAATGGCGGTTGTGGTGCGCCTTGCCATCGTAATAAGTCGAAATCATAACCATTCTCGACGCTAAATAAATGGCAATTTTGCATACCAGTTTTCTACTGCAAAGGAAGCAGGTGGGTTATGCACGATGGCAGACGCAGGCGCTTACAACGTCACGCCTGATATCAAATGGAACCGTCAGCCATATCGCCTGTGTCCTCAATGCGGGCGGCCGTAAAAGTGACGGCCACAAGCATGCGCCTGCAACCTTGTTAATAGATGCTCCCGGATTGCGCCCGTGTGCTCGATGCGCGCGGCGCGCGTGTGTGTGTGTGTGTAGTGTGTGTGTGTGTGTGTGTGGTGGTGTGATGTGTTGTGTCGAGAGAGAGCATACAAGACACGAAGAGAGACGACAATTGACGACCAGAGCCTTATATGGGCCAGGAGAGAGCAGATGAGAGAGATGTGAGTGGATGGAGAAGAGAGAGAGTGAGAGAGAGAGAAGAGAGAAGAGAGAGAGAGAGAGAATGAGAAGACGAGAGAGAGACGATGAGAGGAGTGAGAGAGGAGAGAGGAGAGGAGAGAGAGGAGAGAGGAGACACGAGGAGAGAGAGAGAGAGAGAGAGAGAGAAGAGAGAGAGAAGAGAGAGATGAGAGAGAAGAGACAGAGGACGAGCGAGGAGAGAGAGAGTGAGAAGAGAGAGAGGAGAGGAGAGAGAGAGAGGAGAAGGAGAAGAGAGAGAGAGGAGCGTAGGGAAGATGAGAAGAGGAGGGATGAGAGGAGAGAAGAGAGGAGGAGAGAGCAGAAGAGAGAGAGAGAGAGATGAGAGAGAGAAGAGAGAGAGAAGTGAGAGAGAGAGATAGAGAGAGAGAGATGAGAGAGAAGGAGATGAAAAGAGAGAGAGAGAGAGAGAGAGACGACGAGAGATGGGAGATGAGAGATAGAGAGAGAGAGAGACGAGAGATGAGAGAGAGAGAGAGAGAGGAGAGAGAGAGAGAGAGAGAGGAGGAGAGAGAGTGGGACGTTCGTGTTGTGTACGTCTGTCGTTTGCTGTGCGTGTACTATGGGCGCAAGCTGTCGCATGGACTGATTTCGTACGAATCATGATTTTGTAACGAAATAGTCTCAAAGTGATTTCGTTACGAAATCAGACTACTGCGATTGATTTCGCTTACGAAATCAAGCTATCTGCGGAGGTGATTTCGTTACGAAAATCAGCTCTGCAAGCTGATTTCGTGTACGAAATCATGCTACACTTGGCCGCCCCGGCACGCCAAGTGTCGCAATAACTTTATTTCGTTACAAAATCAAGTCTACAAAGTGATTTTCGCTTACGAACATCAACTTCTTGCGAGTGATTTCTTACAGAAATCAACTACTGCAGAATGATGTCGTTACGAAATCCTTACTGGCGATGATTCGTTACGAAATACAGCTAGGGCGAAGTGATTTCGTTACAGAAATCAGCTAACTGGCCGAGTTGATTTCGTGACGAAAGCATATGCCACACTTGGCGCGCATTGGGCGCGCCAAGTGTACATGACTGATTTACGTCACGATTCCAAGTCTACAACAGGTGATTTCGTACGAAATCAACTACTAGAGTCTTATTTTCGTACGAAATCATATTGCGACCTCGGTGAGCCGGCGCGCAAGTGTAGCATGACTGATTTCGCTACGAAAGCAGCTACTGCGATGTGATTTCGGTTTACACGAAAATCATGCTCACACTTGGCGTGCTGAGGGCGCCAATGTGTCGCGTACTGATTTCGTTACGAAATCACTGATCCTCCCTAAATCCTCCTCCTTCTCCACCAGCTTCTCCTTCTCCCCTCCTTTCCACCCAGCTCCGCTTCTATCCCCCTTCCTTCTCCCTTCCTCCTTCCTCCACCAGCTTCTCCTCTCCTCTTCTCCACCAGCTTCTCCATTCTCCTTCTTCACCACTTACTCTTCTTCTCCCCTCCTCTTCTCCACAGCTTTCTCCCCTCTCCACAACCTCTCTCCTTCTCGCCCTCCTCTCCACCAGCTCCTTCTCCCCCTCCTTCTCCCTCCTCCTTCTGTTCCACAAGCTTCGCCCCTCCTTCTTCTCACCAGGTTCTCTTCCTCCTCAACCACCTTCGCCTTCTCCCCCTCCTCCTTCTCCCACCAGCATTCTCCCGCTCCTGCCTTACTCACCCACCTTCTCAGCTTCTCCCCTTCCTCCTTCGTCCACCAGCTTCTCCCCTTCTCCTTCTCCACCCACCGGGTTCTCCCTTACTCCCCTCTTATTCTCCACAAGCTTCTTCCCCTTCCTCCTTCTCACCAGTTCTCCCCCTCTCCTGTCTCACCACTTTTCCTTCTCCCCTTCCTCCGTTCTCACAGCTTCTCCCCTCCTTCTCCACTAGCTTCTCTCCTCTCGCACCACGGGTTCCCCTCCTCCTTCTCCACGCTTCTCCCCTCCTCTTTCTCCACACCTCCCTTCTCCCTTCCTCCTTCTCCACCACTTACTCCCTCCCTTTCACCACCTTCTCCTTCTCCCCTTCCTTCCCTCCGTTCACCATCTTCTCCCCCTCCTTCTTTCCTACCAGCTTCCTCCCCTTTCTCCCTTCCTTTCTCCACAGTTCTCCCCCTCCTCCTTCCTCCCTCGAGCTTCTCCCTTCTCTTCTCACCGCGCTTCTGCCCTTCCTCCCCTTCCTCATTTTCCTCCACCAGCTTTCCCCTCCTCCTTCTCCACCGCCTTCTCGTCTCCTCCTTCTCTCACACCTCACCACTGCTCCTCCTTCCTGTACACGGCCTGATTAGGACAAACCCCGTTCAGATTTCCTAAATGTCCCGCAGTCCACATTTCTAGGACTGGTTACTCGCTCTCATCTTGAATTATGGATGGTAACTAGCCTCGAGTAACTAAGCCAAGGGTGGGACCGGGT